CTGTCTGAGCATGGATCTGCCTCTCCCATTAGACTGGGAGCTCCTCCAGGCCTGGGACTCACCTCCATGGCCCAGTGCCCAGAGCATGGCCAGGAACAGAGGAGGATCTCAGTGCCTGATGGAGACCGATGTGTATAAATCCAAGTTTGGTAATGCTATTTCCCTACCACCTTTCAGCTTCGTTTCCAAGATCTGGGTCTGACTGTCCTCTGTGTGTAGATGGAAACCTGGAGGATTAAGGGCTCTCCTTACTCCTCCCACCACATTTAAGCCCCTCCCCAGGATGGCAGAATGTCTTCTTCTCCACTGTGTGCTGCACACAGCGTTACTTTTGACCAGGGAACTCATTACACAGAGAACGAAGTGTGGCAACCTGCTCATGCCTGTGGGTTTCCCTGGTCTTACCTCATACCCCATCTCCTAGAAGAAGCTCGCCTGACACAACAATGGAATGACTCAGTTATTGTTGCCAGCTGGGAGTCAACACCTGCAAGGCTGGGTCTCTGTCTTATAGGATGTGGCAATGCATCTTTGAGTGCTGTCTCCCCCCTAGCCTGAATAGAGGGGTCTGGGTATCGGGGGGTGGCAGGGCTGCCCTCACTATCACACCTCATACCCACTTGCAGAATTTTTGCTTCCCCTCCCCATGGTTTTGAGCTCTGCTGGCTTGGAGGTCTTGGTTCCCGAGGAAAGAATGCTCCCACTAGAGGACCCAGCAGTAGTTCCAGTGAATTGGGAGGTGGGACAGCCTCCTGGCCATTCTGGTCTCCTCCCGCCACTGAACCAACAGGCAAAGAAGAGGCTTACTCTACGTGCTGGGGTGACTGATCTCAATTACCAAGGGGAAACTGAGTTCCTGCTGCACAGCGGGGCCAAGGAAGGCCGTGTCTAGAACCCAAGGCATTATCTGGAACACTTCTAGAGCTTCCATGTCCAATAGTAAAAGCAACAACAACAACAACAACAACAACAAAGGCAGGACCACTAAGGATTTAGACCTTTCAGGAAGGAGGGTTTGGGTCACCTCACTAGAAAAGAACACCAGCCAGCTGAGGGCAAAGGAAACATGGAATGAGCAATGGAAGAAGGAAATTAAACATATCAACTATGGCCTTGACCATTACAGAAATATGATCTGTAGTAGAGATGCATATTTTCTTCTTCATTTGTTTTTTTTCCTTCCTTCCCTCCTTCCTTCTTTCTTTCCTTCCTTCCTTCCTTTTTATCTTTTCATGTATCTACCTATCCACCTACCAATTTGTTAATCTTTCCTCTTCTTTCCCTTTGTTATTTTATATAAGGATTATTGGTGTCAGTGGTCCTGATGTTTGTAAATCAAAATTTTGTCAATAGCATCCATCCTACTTCTCCGTTGCTTTCCCCCTCCCATCAAAACCAGATATTTCTTGTGCACTGCAGTTAGGAGACAGCAATAATTAGCTGTTGAATGAGTAGTAAGAAATGGCTAAACATCCAAAGAGATGACCACAGGTCAAGATGACAAATAGAAGGGATAGGCAAAACGAAGGATATGCAAATTTAAGTCCATTCAGTCAGAACGTAGATAATAAAAATAGTAACCATCATTTGGATAATTCACAACCAATCAACAGAATAGAGGCTATATTTTCTGGATCTATCCATTCAGTCAATCCTTTTCTTTTAACACATTACCTAACATGCAAGAGTTCATGTGATAAGATGGTTAACTGAAGTCTTTACTCCTTTGCCTATTAGTTGTAACCAAACAGATAAATTTAAGAAAGGGGTAGGTTTCATATGCCACTTCTGCACCAAGAAAGCTTTTTAAAAAAATGTTAAACCTTTTATTGAAAATATGTACACATAGAAAGAACACAACTCATAAGCAAACAGTTCAATGAGTTCTCAGATCAAGAACTACAAGGACCAGACCCCTAGGGTCCCCCTTGTCTTCTTTTCTGGTCACTAACCCCAAGGATAATCACTATCCTGACTTCTAATTGCATACATTAGTTTTGCCTACTTTTAGACTTTATATAAATGGAATCGTACGGAATGGTCTCTTGTGTGTCTTTATCCTTTTGCTCAACATTATGCCTGTGAGATTCGTCCATGCTATTGCGTGGAGATGCGGATGGTTCATTCCTGTGCTGTATAGTACTTCTCTATGTGACTAGGCCACTCTACTATTGATAGGTATTTGGGTTGCTTCCAGCTTGTGGCTATTATGAACTGTCCTGCTAGAAACATTCCAGGACACGTCTTTTGGAGGAAACATGTAAACTAATTTCTTTTGGGGAGATATACCCATAAGTTCTGTGCCCTGATGAAGGGCCCTGTGCAAACTGAAGTGCTCTTAGTTTGAACTGAATCAAACTCAACACATCCAACACCCAACTCTTGATTCTCACTCCCTTCCATCTGTCCCTCTCTTTGGTAAATGGCATCACCATTTACCCCGTTCCTCAGGCTAAAACCTCGGAGTCGTCTTGTCTTTTCTTTCCCTCACACCTCTCAACCAATGTATCAACGAGTCCTGTCAGCTCTACCAACAAAATCTATCCCTCATCCAACCCTCACGCTTTCTCGGTGCCCACCCCATCGTCACTCGCTAGGACTGGTGCAGTAGCTGCCTCACAGGTCTCAGCTTCCGTTCTTGCCACAAGGAGCCTTTTAAAATGTAAAGCATGGACACAAGAGGACATGCTGAGGGACTCCACTTATATGAAGGTCAAAAATAGGCAAAATATTTTTGCCTATTTAGTCAGAGCAATGGCTTCCTCCAAGATGGGAAAGTGCCTGTGAGGGGCTCTGAGGGAGGCTTTGGGGACAGGGGCTGAAAATGTTCTGTATCTTGGTCTGGGTGGAGGTTACTCAGGTGTATATATAAGGAAAATTGCACTTTATGCATTTTACTGTATGTATTTTATCTCAATGAAAAGGTTATAATATATGTATATAATCACATATTATATACTATATAATATACCTAAAATATAATATTATATAGTATTATATATACACATGTGTGTATATATATACACACACACATATATACATATATATACACACACGTACATATACACATATGTATATAATCATGGCAGCTCCCTGCTATAGATCCTCCATGGATTCTGTGTCAGTCTGGGATCAACGAGAACAACAGAACTAGTAGGAAATATATATTAAGAGATTTATTGCAAGGAATTGGCTTAAGTGATTGCAGAGGCTTGCCAGGCAAGTTGGAAATCCACAGGGCGGGCTGTCAGGAAGGGCAGGCAGAAACTCTAGGTTGTGGGCTGAAGCTGCTGTCCACAGGCGGATTTCTTTTTCAGGGAAGCCACGGCTGTGCTCTTAAGTCCTTTCAACTGATTGAATCAGGCCCAGCCTGAAGATCTAGGATAACCTCCCTTACTTAAAGTCAACTGTTCATGGACTTTAATCACATCTACAGAATAACCTTTGCAGCAACCCTGAGATTCGCATTTGAATGAATAACTGGGACTGTAGCCTAGCCAAGCTGACACTCAGATTGACCACCCCAGCTTTAAATCACATTTGCAATAAAATCCAAAGCTGCTCGCCCTGCCAGCCGGGTCAGCTCCATGAAGGTGGGATTCTGCCTGTTTTGTTCCCTGCTGCGTGCCCCGCAACCAGAACAGTGCCTGGCACCTGGTTGGTGATCAGCAAGTGTGGTGTTGATTGAACAATGACATCCAGCTCCCTTCCCTGTCAGGACGTGTAGACGTCTAGACCCTTCCTCCTCTCGCCTCTCAGGAGTGTAGCAGTGTTTCTGACCTGCCCTCCTCCCCACGAGGCTGCCTGTTGAGGCAGAGTTAGAAGATGTGGGGATCCATGCTTGCTCTGCCACTTACTCTGAAAATCGCTCTCTCCCACCGTGCTGTGGGCAACTTGTCTGCGCAAGGGGGACACGCCTCCCTTTCTTGCTTGCCTCACAGGGTCCTTGGGAGCATCAAGTGGGACAAAGGATGTGAAAGGACCTTGTAAACATGTGCACAAGATGATGAAGTTCACGTGCTCGTGTAAGTGTCCTACACACCCTGTGTTCCTTCCTCCCTCCGGATCTTTGTCCAGGCTGTCCCCCCCACCCCCAATCCCCTTCCTCCTACTTCTCTTTGCCATCACCTCTTTATCCTTTAGGACTTTGCTTAAGGCTTCCTTCCTCCAGGAAGTCTTCCCCGATCTCCACAGGTTGGAGAATGTTGCCTGGCTCAGCTTTGCCTCAAGTGTGTTTCTGTGGAATTAATTAACACACCTGTATTTGGGAGGTGGAGTTGCCTAGCGGTGGGGGTGGGAGCCACATCCCTGGCTCTCCCCTCACTAGATACATGAGCTCTGGCAAGTGCCCCCAACTCTCATTGCTCATCTGTAATGTGGGGATTATGACAGCAGCCCACTTATGCTGGGTGACTGTCGTGTCCCAGGTACTCCACGTTCATCTCATTAAATCCCAACCACAACCACTGTGAAGTCGGTCTTGTCATTATTGTAGGTTTTATTTTCGCCTCCGCCTCACAGGTGAGGAAACACAGGCACAGAGAGGTTAAGTAACTTGCCCAAGGTCACGCACGGGTTAAATGGTAGAGCTGGGATTCGAACCCATGCAGCCTGGCTCCAGAGTCTGGGCTCCTAGCTTCTAGAACATACAGCCTCTCAAGCTTCTCATGATGATACAAATAAAGACATCTTTGTAGCTCCCTGCTGGAGCCTGTCCTAGGCTCCCGAGGGAGAGTGCAGGAAACCGGGTCGTGGGTGCCGGGGTCTAGTGGGGGCTCAGTAAGTAATACCTATTGTCAGGATTTCTCTTCATGAGGGGCAGGAAGTGGCTGTCTCTCCCCACCCTGGGAGGCTGGGGATCTTGCCCAGTTCCTCCCAGGCCTGCTGCCCAGGGAAGGGCAGGTAGTGGTAGGGGGAGAGAGTGCGCGCACCACGTCACAGGGGCTGAAGCTGTGAGAAGGGGGTGCATGGCCCCTGCCCCCAGCATCCGCTCTGAAGAGGCTGGAGAGGCACCTATGAGGAGAGCCGCAGGGCGCCTCCCAGAGTGCCAACCAGTAGGGGAACCATGAGGAGCAGGGCCGGGACCTGGGGTGCCAGGGGAGGGGCGCTGGCCGACATGGTGGCGAAGGGCTGGGTCACGGAGTCCCGGTTGCAGAGGTTCCCCTCACAGCAGGAGCCCTGGAGGTCGATGTTGGTCCAGGGGCTGGTGGTGCCCATGACGGTGCAGGAGGGCCGGTGGCAGGTTCTGATGTACACGGGGACTGAGAAATTGCCTGGGGGCGGGGTGGGGCAGGGAGCAGGGGTCAGAGCTGAGGGAGGCGGCTGCACCTGAATGTCCACCTGAGAGGCCAGGGCCACGGCTGGGTCCTCAGACGGACTTCTGGGCTGCCTCCTTAGCCTGGGGCCGTGCCTCCTCCCTCAGACCACGGCCATGTCTCCCTGTCAGGCCTGCCCTACCTCCACTCTCCTTGCCCCAGCCCCTCACCGACAGTCATCTGGCCATTGCCCTGGAAGCAGACGCTTTGGTCCTGGTGACACTGGACTCGTCTGGACTTTTCCGGGCTGCAGTCCGCCGGATGGATCCCCACGCAGGCATAGCACTCGACGCCGCTGAGCGTCGGCGGATTGGGCGCTGGCAAGAAAGCGTAGACGCACACTCAGGTAATGGCTCCCAGGTACGGTTGTGCGGCTGGCGCACTGCACCCGGGCGCCCGCCTAGCCCGACGTGGGGCCTGGAATCCTGGCCGCCGGGAGGAGGCGCCCAGTGGAGGCCACGCTCCCTATCCCGCGTCCCCCCGGGGCCGGGTCAGCCCAGGGAGAGCCCCTCCCAGCCCCTCACCGTCCCGCCCCACGCCCAGCCCCGCCCTCCGGCACACCTGGGCTCAGGTTGGGGATGGCGTCATGGTTCATGAGGTCGGCATTGCACAAGTCGGTCGCGCAGCCGCGCACCACCGAGTAGTCGGGCGGCAGCGCGTGGTCGCTGGACTGCATCTGGCCCGTGGACGGGCCTGTCCAGCAGCCCTTCTGTACCAGGGTCACCGAGGAGCGGTACCCTGCGGGCGGGAGGGGATGGGGCCTGGTGCGCCGCCTCCTCCCAGCCTCCTCCCCTCTCCACCTCTCCCTCCTCTCCTCCTCCTCCACTCTTCCCCATCACTCACAGGCTTCCCCCTCCTGCCCTTCCCTCCCCTCCCTCTCTCCCTTCCGGACTCCACGTCCACCCCCTCCCCTCTCCTCTCATCGCCAACCCTTTCCTCTGCCTGCTCTTCTCTCCCTGCCCTCTTCCTCCCTTCTGCCCCTCTGCCGCCTCCTCTTCCTGGCTCCCCATCCTCTCCTCCTCCCCCACCTCCCACCCCTCATCCCCCGCTTTCTTTCTCTCCCTTCTCTTCCCTTCCTCCACCTCCCCATCTCTCTCCTTATCCTTCCCTCCTCTTCTAGCCAATTCCCCCTCTAACCCCTTGGCTCCTCCCCTCCCCCACCCTTCCTCCCTAACCTCGCCGCCCGATTCCCGCTCCCTGCCCCTCACCAGTGTCCAGGGACATGACTGCCTCAGAGCATCCATGGAGACAGGACACGTTGGGGAATTTCACGCTACTGAGGTCAAAGGGCCCGAAGTAGATGTGTTGAAAGCTGTAGCATTGCAGGGCTTGGGACACTGGCGAGGGGAGAGGAGCAGGGGTGGGGTGAGAGGAGCAGGGGAGGGATAAAAGGAGCAGGCCCGCGATGAGCCTGTTTCAGGAACTCGGGCTCCACCCTGCAAGTGACAGCCACACCGGCCAGGCTCTTCTGCTCTGAGAGGAGACAGGCCTTGTTGCCTTGAGGGAACCAGGGCTGATGCTGCAGCCGGTCGTGGCTGTGTGTCTACCTCATGGCAAAGTCATGGCCTCTCTGCACCTACTCGTCCAGTTTTTTTCCCCCAGGCTGCTCCAGATCTCCACCCTCTTCCAGGAAGCCCTCTAAGATTTTGATGAAGGAGGAAGTGATTCACTCTTGCCCTCCCCATCCCTGTCCCAACTAAACTCACGATGTCCAGTAGCACTAAAGGCCACTGATGGAAAACAAACACTCCAGAACAGGCAGCAAGATGTGCAATCTCATACTACAAATGCACACACACACCAGCCCCAGCAGTACATGCACAAAACACTGAAACACTGACATAAACACAGAATAACAAAATTGACACAAGCTCGTGCAAATCTCACACGTATATGCAGAATACCCCGAATGCATCCACGCAGAGTTCTAGATTCACACAAAAACAAGTACACCCAGACCCTCCAATGGAAACCTCCCAAACCAAGGCACAGCATCGCACATGTGCAAAATCATACTCACCAACAGAAAAATGCGTGGATACAGAAACAATAGAAATACACAGAGAGACCCAGTATCACAGAAAGTCATATGCAGAGAGAGACAAATACAGACCCAAGAATCACAGACACACAAATAAAACAAGAAACCACAATTATGCAGAGTTAGAGATACACGAAAAAGAGACTCCCAAAAACATACAATTTAAAATCATAGACAGAGCCAGCCTTGATAGCCTCGTGATTAAAGTTCGGTGCTCACTGCTTCGATGGCCCGGGTTCATGTCTCGGTCATGGAACCACACTACCCGTCTGTCAGTTGCCATGCTGTGGTGGCAACTCACATAGAAGAACTAGAATGACTTACAACTGTGATATACAACCATGCACTGGGGCTTTGGGGGACAAAAAAAAGAGGAAAATTGGCAACAGATGTTAGCTCAGGGCGACTCTTTCCCTGCAAAAAAAAAAAGGAAGATTGGCAACAGATGTTAGCTCAGGGCGAATCTTTCCCTGCAAAAAATAAAAAAATTAAAAAAAATAGATAAAATCATAGACAGATACAAGACATATAGAGACGTGACACAGATGCACAGGAGACAGACAGACATTAAAATACCCAAACGCATATACACAGAGATAAATGCAGGCCCACCAATCACGCAGATGCACAAACACAAAGAGAGACCCAGATATGCGAAATTATACCCACATCTCTTTGACAAAGAAAGTGAAGCTCAGAGATAAACAGACCCATAGAACATTTGTTCAAACACCCAGGCATGGGAACCTGGTACAGAGAAACCACACAAGCACAGAGACCCACAGGACACGGTGACACATGGACACACACAGAAATCAAACTGTCTTCCATGGATGAGTAGGCACACACAGGGTCAGTGTGTGCAGACAGGGCCTCCTTCCCGCCTCGCTAACTCCCTGTCTTTGTAGCCACTTCAGTCCTGATATGAGTATGTCCCAGTCCTTCCCAAATTGGGGAAAAGGGGAGTCTGAGGATGAAGTTATGGCTCCCTGCCAGTTCTGGAAAGAGCCCCCACCGTTCCCCACAAGTACCCTTGAAAGAGGGTGCAGGAAGGGAGGATGAGACAGGCTGGAGTGGCAGGAAGAGAGATGCCGACTGATAGGGTAGAACAGGAGGGGAAGAGAAATGATGAGGACACAGTCCTCACCCCTCCCCACCAAGACCCATGGGTCCAGGCCCCCAGCTCCTCCTCCCTCAGACCCGGGAGTCCAGGCCCCCAGCCCCTCCTCCCTCAGACCCGGGAGTCTAGGCCCCCGAGCCCTTCTTACCATTGGACTCCGATGTCTGGGTGCCCGTTAGACAGAGCGCAGCCCCAAGGAGGCCAAGCAGGATGGCTCTGGGGACTTCCATGGCCAGGTTGTGGAGCTGACTGAAGGGAGACACGGAGGACAGCTCCTCCCGCTCTGATTTCTGCTTGGCTGGTTCTCCCTGCTGAGCCCCAGGCATCCCGGCTACCCAGCCTGGCCAGGATTCCTCCACCCCCGCCCTCTCTCACTTGGGCTAGACTCCTCCTAGGTAATCATGATGGGGCCATGATGAGTGCTGGGTGATGAGGAAGAAGGGTGCTGGGGGCCTGGACTTGTGGATCTGAGAGAGGAGGGAGCTACGGGCTTGTAACCCCTCATTCTGGGGGGATTTGTGCTTTGCAGGCTGTCTTTCTACCCCGATCCCCACAATGTGTTCTAGTCCGAGGTTGGCACACATGGTCTCTTGATTTCTCTTCTCTCCCTCCACCCCCACATACAGCACCCTATACTCAGACACACACAGCCTCCAACCTGGGGCCATGTCTCCAGGCCCAGAGACACAAACATCACCTCCTCCACAAAGCCTTCTCTGACCCCCGTTGCCCCCACTCATCTACCCACGTTCAGCCTCAAGTACCTCCGTGTCTCCCAGCCATGGTCACCTGGGGTGGCCTACTGTCAGTCTCCCCCATGAGAGGCCTCAAGGGATGTTTGAGATGTTGTATGAATGAATGAATCAATGAGTGTACAAACAAACAGAGAAGCAGAGAGAGAGAGAGAGAAACAGAGTGACAGAGAGAGAGTGACAGGGAGATAGAGACTCCCAGAAAGGCAGTTACACATGAGATGCAGAAAGACAGACACACCCAGTGTGGACAGATGTAAACGTAGACACACAGACCATCCCAGACATGAAGAGGGACACCTTGATGAACAGGACATGCCCACAGAAGGTATTTAATAAATGTTTATTAGATGATTAAATGAATGAATTAAAAACCGTTGGAGGGGGCCGGCCCTGTGGCTTAGCGGGTAAGTGCGCGCGCTCCGCTGCTGGCGGCCCGGGTTCTGATCCCGGGTGCACACCAACGCACCGCTTCTCCCGCCATGCTGAGGCCGCGTCCCGCATACAGCAACTAGAAGGATGTGCAACTATGACATACAACTATCTACTGGGGCTTTGGGGGAAAAAATAAATAAATAAAATTTAAAAAAACCATTGGAGGAGATAGAGATACAGGCAGACAACCAGAGGGACCCACTGTACCCCAAGGACACAGACAGACCCATGTGGGCACTCAGACATCGAGCACAAGGGGACATCCAGATGGATGCCCCGAGGGCAGTTGGTGCTGAGCAGAGACCCTAGGTTGGCACCTCCTGTCCTGCCTCGCTTCTCACCCCTTGGAGGAGCTGCCTGATGGAATCCCACCCACTGGCTGTGCCATGCGGGGTGGGCACCAGGCAGTTCAGAGACCTAGAGTCATGGACCCACAGAGGGATGGGACAGAGTTGACATAATGGTGGTGACCCTGATGACCTTAACAATCCCCTGAGCTGGACTAAATTTTTCACAGGTTTCTCCTTGACTCTAGGCCCCCCTCTTCTTAGAGCATTTGCTTTAGAAAAGTTGTCATTGCAAATTCTTTCTCTGTCCCTTTGAAATGTAGGTAGATCTCCCAGCCTCCTGCCAGTTTTACAACCCAGGAAGGTTTTTCTCAAGGACGTGGGAGCCATCCCTTTGGAATATCATTATCAAGGAAGACAGCACCCCTGTCTCCCAGGCTCCGTGGGAGGGTAGGAGCTGAACTTGAATAAGCGACAATTAGCAAACACAGATGGCCTGATCACAGAGAAAAGTATTTGCAAACTCAGAAATAACTCAGTGTGCTGGACACGTCCCATGGACCCGCCTCCCTCCTCTTTTCCTCTAGCACTTTTCCACGAGCCCATCTGGTGATTAAAAACCTTCCCATTTTTTGTTTCAGTGGAGTCGAGGTCAGTCTCTCTCCCCTACTGCCAGAGTCTTGAATAAAGTCTTCTGTGCCTGTTTAACTTTGTTTGGTGCCATTTTTCTTGGACAGCAGACACCCAGGCACTGTGGCCACTCACCGTGGTTCTGGACGCTCACAGGCCTAGCCTCCCCCACCCTCCTCTTGCCAAATCAAGCCCCTCCCGTCAGGCCTCACTTCCCCAAACCTGTTTTGCATCCAAATTATTCTTCCTGCTTCTCCTGTTCCCGCCTCCGGCTCTCTGTCGGGGGCTGGCCACACAGGGGCAGGGTGGAGCTGAAGGCCCCTTGAGAGAAGGAGGCTGGGTTTTCTGCAGCCCCTGTGGAAGGTGGAGGCATTGGAGGTGTTCACAGAGGTTCACAGTTTCAGAGACTGAGGCTTGAAGAGTCCGCAGCCCAGCCCATTTGGGGGTGTGTGTGTGAGAAAGTGTGTGTATGAGAGTGTGTAAGTGGCTGTGTGAGTGTGTGGCCATGCATGTGTGGTTTTGACTCTGGTAACCTTCAGGTACCTTTGGGGGCTGTCAGTTATCAGGTGGGAAGCTCCCCATTGCAGGAGGTAATCAAGTGGAGACCCAGTGATCTAGGTCGGGGGATTTTGGCAGGGTGGTTGCATCCATAGAGAGCTATACAACATGAACTCTGAGCTCCCTGTGAATCCAGAGATTTTCTTTTTGGTGATCACTTTTTTTTTTTTTTTTGCTGGGAAAGATTTGCCCTCAGCTAACATCTGTTGCCAATCTTCCTCTCTCTTTTTTTTCCTCCCCAAAGCCCCAGTACATAGTTGTATATTCTAGTTGTAAGTCCTTCTAGTTCTATGTGAGCTGCTGCCACTGAATGGCTATGACAGACGGGTGGTGTGGTTCCATGACCGGGAACTGAACCCCAGGCCACTGAAGCGGAGCACACCGAGCTTAACCACTAGGCCATCAGGGCTGGCTCAGTAATCACTTTTAAATAATTAATTAATTATTTAGGAGATTGGGGGGACAATGAAGATGTTTTGTGGTAGCCATTAAGGTGCTATTTTAAAAACTTTTTACTGTAGAAATTTTCAGACACAAGCAAATGTACAGAGAATAGCATACCCATCATCCGGACTTCACAATTTCTAACATGTCACCGATCTGGTGTCTTTCTTCCCCCCTTTGGTGCTTATAAGGGCGTTGAAGTGGATTTTTTTGCATTATTTTGCTCAAAATATTCATTTCATTTAAAAGTAGGTGATTCTCAAAGTGTAACTTTGGCTTATGTTCTGAGATGCAAATCTTTGTGAATATCAGGAACACTTTCGAAAGGGTGTCACCCGCTTAGTGCTATGTTGCCGCCAGATCGACTTTCTCTTTGCGTGTTGAACAGTTTCAAATTTATTTTCCATAAATGTGTTTTCAGTATATTCTGACATTTATTAAAAGCTGAAGAGAAGGTGTAGAGTGCTTGAATGATATTTAAAAATTCAGTGGCAGATCAGGAAATTTTTGCTGCAATTATTCGCTCTCCAGTTTAAAGAGTGTGCAGAACAAGGATTTGCTCCTCCAGAAAGTGAGAAAGGAGGTGAGTCAGGAGGTATTACCTCCAGTTTCTGCCCCAGCTTCAGCTGCCTCCTGGAGGATCCATCTTGATGTCCTCAGCTGCCTGGTGTTTGAACGTCCACGTGGGTCTAATGCTTTAGAATTTTTTCAAGGATCCTCTGTTGTATTCCATAAGTGTTCATGCATCTTTCCATTTACATGCACAGTTGCAAGTACCTGGCCTCTCAAATGATTTTTTTTCCAGATTTGGGTTGCGTAAGCAGTTTACTAAATGCGTGTATCGTCTGTCTCTGGCTATAGCATCTACTGGGCAAAATTCCTCAAAGTGTTTACGTACGGGAATACGGGCAATCTGGAAACCAGCCCATCCAGCAGTAATTGTTGACTGACTTGTTAACTACAAACAGGCTTTGTAACCCAAATTACTGAGAAATACTCAGTATTCCTTATCTTATTCAAAATTCCATTAATCAAACATGCTAGAATTGCAATGATATGCGTGATTTTTTTGATGTCATCCCCTAAATAATGTGTGACATCACTTGCTGCCAATCTTTATGTTCTGCATAAATGTGCTTATGACATTATCAGAATTGTGGAGTTTTCTTCTGGAACTCTAGACACTGCCTTGCCAAAAACTGAATCGTGTGTATTGTGCGCCGATATTTTCTTTTGTTATTTTCACATAACCTCTGCCTACAGCACCAATATTCCTTTTTCAGATCAGACCTTATTTTTTTTGTTATAGTTCAGTAGTGTTAAGTATATTCACATTTTTTTTAAAGATTTTCTTTCTTTCTTTATTTTCCCCCCAAAGCCCCAGTGGATAGCTGTATGTCGTAGCTGCACATCCTTCTAGTTGCTGTATGTGGGACGCGGCCTCAGCATGGTTGGAGAAGCGGTGCGTTGGTGCGCGCCCGGGATCCAAACCCGGGCCACCAGCAGCGGAGCATGAGCACTTAACCGCTAAGCCACGGGGCCGGCCCAGTATATTCACATTGTTGCGCAACCAGTCTCTAGAACTTTTTCATCCTGCAGCACTGAAACTCTAGACCCATTAAACAACATCTTCCCATTCCCCCTTCCCCAGCCCCTGGCAACCACCATTCTGCTTTGTGTTTCTATGAATTTGACTGCCTAGATACCTCGTATAAGTGGAATCATACGGTATTTGTCTTTTTGTGACTGGCTTATTTCATTTAGCACAATGTCTTGAAGGTTCATCCACGTTGTAGCACGTGTCAGAATTTCCTTCGTTTCTAAGGTGGAATAATATTCCACTGTGTGTATATGCCACATCTTGTTTATGTGTTCATCCGTGAATGGACACATGGATTGCTTCTGCCTCTTGGCTATTGTGTATAACGCTGCAATGAACATGAGTACAAACATCTGTTCAGGACCTCGCTTTTAATTCTTTTGGATGTGTACTAAATCAGATCCTATCTTTGAATGTTACACTCTACTGTGAATATGCCCCTCACTGTCAAGTATGTGATCAAGGATGCCAATCTGTGTGTGGCTCGTAGGGAGGCAAGACTTGCTCTTAGGTGGAGATTAGCTCTCGGGACCGTGGGACCCACAGCTATGGAAAGGAAGCAAAGGAAGAAGACTGGGAAGAGGGGGACGTTGGGCTGTGGTTCAGTCCCAACAAAGAGC